AAATTGGATTTGAAGGCTTATGGGCTAGGTTGAATTGAGAAATTTCAGTTATGTTGCGTTATCGGACCTGTATAGGATAGGGTGACGTGGGGTCACCCTCGGGTATATGCATGGCAAGGTTATACGACGGTTTGATGGCTTTAAGAATAACTCTAGGCACGTTCGAGAACAAACATATGTTTAAGTGAGGGAGGATGTAACGACCCGACCGATCATTTTGAGCATTTGCACTTTGCTCGGCAGTTTACGGGCATGAGTAGCTCTGTATGATGCATTATGACTTATGTGAATCATAGGTTTTGATTTTCAGATTATTCGGAATCGAATTGAAAGAATGGATTTCATAGTCGAAGCTTTAAATTGAAAAAGTTGATCAAGTTTGACTTTTTGTGAATTTGAACCAGGAACGAAGTTTTGACGATTCCGTTGGCTCCGTTGGGTGATTTTAGACTTAGGAGTGTGTCCGGAATTTTTTTTGAGGTCCGTAGTGGAATTAGGCTTGAAATGGCGAAATTCGAATTTTTGGGAAGTTTGACTGGAGGGTTGACTTTTTGATATCGGGGTCGGAATCCAATTTTGGAAACTAGAATAAGCCCGTAATATGAAATGTGATTTGTATGCAAAATTTGAAGTTATTCCGGATTAATTTGATGTGTTCCGGCACAAGATATAGAATTTGAAAGTTCAAAGTTCATAGATTTTGATTTGAGGTGTGATTTGTCGTTTCGATGTTGTTAGGTGTGATTTGAGGCCTCGAGTAGGTCCATATTATGTTATGGGACTTGTTGGTATATTTGGTTGAGATCCCGAGGGCCTCGAGTGAGTTTCGGACGAAGTTCAGATAAATTTCGTTGCATATTGCATTGTTGAAGGCTGCTGGTTCTGGTATTTTCGCACATGCGGAAATGGACTCGCAAGTGCAATGGTCGCAGAAGCGACGAGGATGTCGCAGAAGCGAGGGAGTGCTGGCTGGGCAGTGCTCGCAGGTGCGTAATATTTTCCGCAGATGCAAAGTCATATCTGCACTTGGCTTTCCGCAGAAGCGGCCTGGCTCGCAAATTCCCCACTTTTCCACAGAAGCGGGGTCGCAGTTGCGACCTCTTGACCGCATCTACGAAGGTGCTGGGCAGAACCCTTTAAGTTTGGGTTTTCACTAGTTTTCACCATTTTCGAATTTTGGAGCTCGGTTTAGGCGATTTTGGTGAGGAATTTTCCACACAACTTTGGGTAAGTGTTCTTGACTCCCTTATGATTATATTCCATGAATTAATCCTCCTTTTCGATGTTATAATATTGATTTTTTGAGAGAAATCGGAGGAATTTACTACAATTTTATAAAATAAATTTTCGAGATTTGAACACCGATTCGGAGTCAAATTTGAGTGAAATTAGTATGGTTGAACTTGACCTTGGATGGGTTGTCGAATTTTATGAATTTCGTCGGATTCCGAGATGTGGCCCCGCGAGAGATTTTTGGAGTGTAATATCGGATTTTGTGGAAAACATGAGAATTTTTATGTGGAATTAATTCCTATAAATTGTGTGGATTGAATATAATTTATTGTGGCTAGATTCGAGCCGTTCAGGAGTTGATACGCAGAATGTGATTTCTGGAGCATTGTTTAGCTTGCTCAGCATTGGATCCGTCTTGTTCGAGGTAAGTAGCTCTTCTAATCTTGGAGCTGAGGGTATGCACCCTGATTATATGTGTGTTATGTATTTGGTATTGAGGTGATGCACATGCTAGGTGATAGGCGTGTGGACGTGCACCATGTGAATTGGGACTCTGTTGTTTCTATGACACTGTATAGTGGTCCTACTTTGTTGATATCCGTATTTTCACCATGTGATAAAGTAATTAAGCTATCAATCATGCTAGATATTATGTTTAGGCTTTATGACGATATTGTTAGGACCCATAATGGTCGTTTCTTGCTGTCATTTCACTGATTACATTGATATTTCGTACTCAGTCATATTCATGCATTTATATCATATCTCAGTCTCAATTGTTATTTATTAATACATCATATCATTGTTGTTGGACTAGTTTCATGACATTGTGAACCCGTGAGTGAGGCTGGAGTGATTGATGACTAAGTAAGGCATGGGGCCTGTTTGTGAGGATATTGATACTATAGCACGTGAGTTATCCGTGTAGCACGTGAGTTGTCCGTACAACACGTGAGTTGTCCGTGCGCATCCAGATATTGATATTATGGCACGTGAGTTGTCCGTGCAACACGTGAGTTGTCCGTGCGGTTTATAGCGCTTGGGCTGAAGGAGCCCCTCCAGAGCCTGCATACCCCCAGTGAACGCGATTGTTATTATTGAGGGATGGATCTTCCCTAGACATGGATCTTGTCCGAAGCATTATATACCTGGAGATGGATCTTCTCCACGAGCTGGATTGGCCCTACTCAGTACTGAGTGACTGATGATCAGTTGATGTGTATATTCCGGGATGGATCTTCCCTAGGATGGATTGACCATATACAGTACCGAGTGATTGAGCATGATGAGTGGAATGTGTGAGAAAGTGAGATTGAGTACTCTGAGAGTGTGAGTACATGAGTTCATCTCTGAGATACATTGTATTGATATGCATACATGACATACATGCACCGAGATGTATTTTCCTTATGATGTACGGTATTACATTATTCATGATTTCTCACACATGTTGACAGATGGGCATAGTGATGCATTTGTTTTACTCTGGTTATCTGGAAAGAAAATAAAATATCTTATTTATTATTATTGAAAGAATTTTTGAAAAAATTATTGTTTTCAAACTTATTCATATTTTTGGCAACTTTGGTAAACGATTTGGGTTTTCACTGATAAACTTGAAAGGCAGAACTATTTTTGGAAATCATGTTTTTGCTGAGCATCTTATCTCTGAGTTATTTCTTGTATTATTTATTTTACATTGTTATGAACTGTTGTTGGTAATTGGTGGTGGACTCGACCTTAGTATAAGCTCGTCACTACTTTCAACCTAAGGTTAGGTTTGTTACTTATTGAGCATATGGGGTCGGTTGTACTCATACTACACTTCTGTACCTTGTGTGCAGATGTTGGTTCCTGATGTTGCTGTGTTCGATGGGAGCTGGATTGATGATGTACCTGCGTCCCGGTTGTAGCTGCCCCTTGTTCGTGGTAGCTTTAGGTCTATGGATCTCTGTTTATGTATTTTTCAAACAGACTATGTATTTAATTCATGTCATCTTTGTAAACTCTATTATTAGAAGTTCATGATTTGTACTACCAGTTCTTGGGGAATGTATTAGATTCATATATTTCTTTACTTAATTGCTTAATTAATTATTATTGGAATTGGTTAGTAGTTAACTGACTTACCTAACGGGTTGGGTTAGATGTCATCATGACTAGTCAAATTTTGGGTAGTGACATTAATTGAGCTAAAAATTACGATTGAAGTGCGACTAAAAGTACAAGATTATAAGATATTTTGTAACCAAACAAGAAAAACTTAACTTTTCACAATAAAGGCAATTTAACAAATTGAAGGCAAAGTTTTTTGGGAATAAATGGAACTGAGAAATTTATTTATTCTTGGAATTGGAGAACTAAAAGTTATAAGCATCAAGTCATTTTACTTCTTTCCAAAGAAATGAAGGAAACAGAGTTTGAATTTGGAAACCAATTTCCTTATCGTTTTTGGCAAAGTGGTCCGCCATTCTATAAAAGAATTGGAGTTATTATTTCTTGTAATCTGGCTTGTCTTTCTTGTTTTGTCTGAGGGGTTTGTCATAAATACTCTTACATTTGGATTTTGAGTAGTCGAAAAAGTAACTTTTGCTATTATTGTGCCTAAACGTATCACTCCCTATTATGCTTATATGTCTGGTACTTATTGGTAGAGGTGTTCAAGAAAAATGATAAGTCATTGAATTGAAATATTGAATCAATTCAACTAAAAAGGACAGATACATATGTAGTTTGATTTGATCTGGATGCCTTGGTCATTTCAGTGGATCGGGAAAACCTTTTTTCTTTTCATTTGCGTATTCTTTTGAATGAAAGCTCCATGTTGGTGATAAGAAAAGCATATTGGAAATCAAATCTATGATACAAGATGAGAGTTGTACAAGTACAACTAGCACAGAAAACTAAATCAAGCTGACGTAAAATTGATATGCACATTAATTTTTTATTTGTTGAGCACTTAATTATAATGATTGACAATATTCAATTTAATTGGTTATTAGGCGAATTACTAGGTACACAAATATATTAGAGTGGTACAAGTTGTTGAAGTATAAAATCCACTTAACCCAGCTGCCGCCGCCGCCTCCACCGCCGTCCTTACCCTTTTTGGTTGCTCTTGCTTTATTTTAGGAACAGAGATTTCCTCCTTTTTTGCTTGCTCTTGCATGCTAGGAATAGAGATCTTTTGGACAGAAGAGAAAGAGGTTTATGGCTCTGTTTTAGGAAGAAAAATTTGGATGGAAGAGGAATCAAAAGAGAAATAGGGTTTTGGCTTTATTTTAGGATATTTCTTACTTCTTAGAGACGTTTTTTCAAAGTGCGTATTAACCTGATACAAGCTATAGAAATTAAAGGAAAAGCTAAGTATCCTAAAGAGCAAAGTGAGAGAATTGCTCTTGAACAGACCACTTAGAGAGACAAATGATTCAGAGATTTTAGAGAGAGAAAGAGAGATATTTTATTGAGAATCAATTACAATTGAATAAGCATTACAACGGTCTTGATCTCAGCTTATATGAAAAGGGAATGAAAGGGAATCATCTGTAACTAACTTGTAACTAACTTACGGAAAGTTCCTCCTCTAACGACCTAACTAACTCTCTGCACACGTGCACCTCACGTGACTTCTACCAACTCTCAGCTGAACTAAAATTGATACAATATGGAATTCAAACTAATCTATTATGGATCGTAACACCACTCCCTCCCTGAAACAATCCTTGTCCTCAAGGATTAAAAGAAGAAAATTTGAGCTGGAACTCTTGTCAATCTTCCCAGGTATTGTCCTCAAGGGCAACATTCAACCATTTGACTAGATCCTGTGTTATAGATCTGCCATTCTTGGGAGCTAATCTTCTGTCTAAGATGGCTTCAGGAGCAAGCAGGACATGGCCATGTTCAGCATGAACAACTGGAAGTGTAGTAGAAGTTGTGTGAGTACCTAACTTCTTTTTGAGCTGAGAAATGTGGAATGCGGGGGTGGATCTTTGACTGAGGAGGCAAAGCCAAAGTGTATGCAATTTGTCCAACCCTTTGGATGATCTGAAAAGAGCCAAAGTATTTGGCTAATAACTTCTGAAAGGAATGGCTCTTTAGAGACAATTGTCTGTATGGCTGCAACTTAGCATAGACCCATTCACCTACTGCATAAGTTCTATCAGTCCTGCCCTGTCAGCCTGGGACTTCATCCTGCTTTGAAGTCTTAATAAGTGAGACTTCACAGCTCTAGTTGTGGCTTCTATCGCTTGTAACCTTCTGTCAACAACATCCAGCTAAGAATCAAAGGGCATATATGGTAGCAATGATGGTAGTTTCTGCCCATACACCATCTCATAGGGTGTCATTTTAATGGGTGAGTGATAGGTAGTGTTAAACCACCGTTCAGCTAATGACAACCACTTGGGCCACTCTTTTGGTCGATCAAAAGTCATACACCTAAATTAGCATTCCAAGCACCTGTTAACCACCTCAGTTTGACCATCAGTCTGAGGGTGGTAAGTAGTTGAAGTTAGCAAAGAAACCTTCTGCAATTTGAACAACTCCTTCCAGAATTTGCTAGTGAAGACTACATCTCTGTTAGAAACTATAGTCTTAGGCATTCCAAGGAGTTTAAAAACATCATCGATGAATATCTGGGCCACCTCCAAAGCAGTGTAAGGGTGCTTTAGAGCCATGAAATGGACAGCTTTACTTAATCTATCAACCACTACAAAAATGACCTCCTTGCCATGGGCTTTTGGCAGTCCTTCTATGAAATCCATGGAAACATCTTACCATATCTTATCAGGAATAGGTAAGGGTTGCAACAACCCTGGGTAAGCCACATTCACATTCTTACACCTTTGACAAGTGTCACACTCCCTCACTTAAGAGTATACTACTTGCTTCATTTTCCTTCAATAAAAGTCTTGTTTCAGTCTGCTCAAGGTAGCAATAATCCCAGAGTGTCCTCCAATTGAACTGCTGTGATATAAAGCTATCAATTTTTTCTTCAAATCTTCATTGTTCCCCACCATCACTCTACCATTTCTACTTAAGATCCCTGCTTGAAACTTATAGTATGGCTTGACTGTTAATGTGGTATGCAAGTTTTGTATCAGCTTCTGTAAGACAATATCATGCTGCCATGATTACTTGACCTCTTCCAATAAGTCCATCTGTATTGCAGAAATGCTACAAAGCTGCACTGCCTCATCCTTCCTAGACAGAGCATCTGCAACAATGCTTTCCTTCCCACTCTTGTAAGATATACTGTCATCATAACCAAGCAGTTTAACTAGCCACTTATGTTGACTTGGTGTAGTAATTCTCTGCTCAAGTAGGTACTTAAGACTGTGGTAGTCAGTCTTAATTGTAAAGTGTCTACCTAGCAGATAGGGCCTACATTTTTGCACTGCACATACCAAGGCCATGAGCTCCCTTTCATAAACTGACAAGGACTTGTTTCTTTCTGATAATCCTTTACTGAAGAAGGCTATTCGACCATCTTGAGTGAGCACTGTACCAATGCCTTCTCCTGATGCATTTGTTTCAACAATAAACTCCTTAGAAAAATCCGACAGAGACAAAATAGGGGCTAAAATGATCATCTCCTTTAGTGTTTTAAATGCTATAGTTGCAGCTTCATTCCATGCAAAACAACCTTTCTTCAATAGGTCAGTTAAAGGTCTAAAAATAGAACCATAACTCTTTATGAATCTTCTGTAATAACTTGTGAGAACCAAGAATTCCCTTAAGGCTTTGATGTTGGTTGGTGGAGGCCAACTGAGTACTGCTTACACCTTTTGAGTGTCCATAGACACCCCTTGATAAGAGATCACATGACCCAAGTAATCCACTTGAGTTTTTCCAAAAGAACATTTGCTTTGCTTGACAAATATGACATTGATCCTTAAAATCTGAAAACTTTTCTCCAAATGTGAGAGATGATCCTCCCAAGAAGAGATGTACACCAAAATGTCATCAAAGAAAACTAAGATGAATTTCCTGAGATAAGGAATAAAAATTTGATTCATCGAACTTTTAAAAGTAGAGGGGGCATTAGTAAGCCCAAAGGGCATGACCAAGAACTCAAAGTGGCCATGATGGGTTCTAAATGTTATCTTGGGAATGTTATCTTCCCATGTCCTAATTTGGTGGTATCCTGATCTGAGGTCCAGCTTTGAAAAGAATCTGGCACCATGCAGCTCATCTAATAGCTCTTCTATCACTGGTATTGGAAACTTGTCCTTAACTGTATAGCTGTTGAGTTCCCTGTAGTCTACACATATTCTCCAGCCTTCATCTTTCTTCTTGACCATGACAATGGGTGATGAATATGGACTGGTGTTGTTCCTAATCACACAAGCAGACATCGACTCCTCAACCATCTTATCAATTTCTTATTTTTGTATAGTAGGATACCTATAAGGTCTAATATTTACAGGGGAAGTGCCCTCCTTTAAGACAATCCTATGATCATGCTGTCTTGGTGGTGGCAGATCTTTAGGAACATCAAACAGATCATTATACTCCTTCGATAATTTTTGAAATTCTTCCTTGTTTACTACCATATCTACATGTTCTCCTAGTCCCTACAAGCAAGGTTCAGTTTTACATTCTGTAGCTAAGACTCCTAATGACATCATTAATAATTCAGCAGGTTTGGCCAAGAGTTTGTCCATTTGATCTTGTCCTGCTATCTTCATAGAAGGAGATTGAGTGCCCCTTAGTGACACCTTTTGACTTCCAATCTTGAATTCCATATTCAACTTCCTGAAGTTCTATAGAATGTCACCCAATGTTACCAGCTATTACACTCCCAAAACCATGTGACAACCACCAAGAGGAAGAGTCAGCATCTTAGACATGAATTGAACTCCTTGCATTTTCCAAATAAATTCCTTGCAGATGGCTTTGCTGTACATTCTATTCCCATCAGCTACAGATACAGCAAATGGATGGATCATTGTTAAATAGCACCCTAGCCTTTTTGCAGTATTAAGATCCATTAAGTTGTGGGTACTGCTAGTATCAATCAAGATCTTCACTGCTTTACCTTTAACTAATCCAGTAACTCTCATAGTTCTAAAATCTTCAGTGCCAGTCATAGCATGTACAGAAATATGAGGTAGGATTGCACCATCAGAATCAACATCATAAGCAAATTCTTCCATGTTCAGTAATTCAGAGGGATCAAACAAAATATCCTTCTCACCATTCCCTTCTTCCTCAGGTTCTACCACCTCAATAGAGAACAATTGTATTCTTTTTGCACATACATGACCTAGAACATACTTCTCATCACAATTAAAGCATAGTCCATTAGCCCTTTTCTCCTTCATTTTATCAAGGCTCAAAAGTCTTGGGTTTCTGTAGGATGGTTTAGTTGTTCCTAAGTAGGAACCTTGATTTTTTTGGAAAGATGGATTTGGTTTAGAGTGGTTTGGGTGTGGGTTCTGTGAGTAAGTAGGATTGGTAAAGGGTTTATGCATTGGGCTAGGTGTAGAAAGAACATGAGCAATTTTTAGAGTTTGTTTTTGTATGAATAAAGTTTGTTCTTGGATTCTAGCAAGGCTAATAGCTTTCTGCAAAGATCTAGGTGCAAATCACCCATTGGATCAACAAACAATTCTGACCCAAACCTTGCATACAAATACCTCACATACCCCCCCCCCCAATCCCTTAACAGTCGAGTTTTTATGTACACTTGATGCCATTAAAGAGCTTTCCCAGCCAAACAACAAGAAACCAACTTCACCTTTGAAGCTTCAGGGGTCTGATCCACCTCAAAAAATTGCTCGCACTGATACAACCAATCATGAAACCCAGTTCCATTAAATTTAGGGAATTCCAATTGATGGCTCCTAGTAGGCAGCTCATATTCCTCCCTTCGTTGAGCCCTTTCTGCTGTTGCTGTTATTTTTTCTATAGAAGATCGTTTATTACCTCCACTCATCAATAGAATCTTCTTAAGTTCTTCCATCGAGAGTGCAAGTATTTCATCCACAGATCTATGCAATTCTTCCACTGATCCAGCAATTCCCATGAATGATCCTCGAAGACCATCCAAATCTTGACGGAGTTCCTGAATTCTGGTGTTATGTTCGCCCATTTTCGATTCACAGATCCAAGGAAAATATCCGCTCTAATACCAATGATACAAGCTATCGAAATTAAAGGAAAATCTAAGTATCCTAAAGAGAATTGAGAGAATTTCTCTTGAACAGACCACTTAGAGAGAGAAACGATTAAGAGATTTTAGAGAGAGAAAGAGAGATATTTCATTGAGAATCAATTACAATTGAAGGAGCATTACAACAGCCTTGATCTCAGCTTTTATGGAAAGGGAATGAAAGGGAATTAGTATAACTAACTTGTAACCAACTTCCGGAAAGTTCTTCCTCTAACAGCCTAACTAACTCTTTGCACACATGCACCTCACGTGACTTCTACCAGCTCTCAGCTGAACTAAAATTGATACAATATGAAATTCAAACTAAGCTATTATGGATCGTAACACAACCCTTGCTGATTTTTAGGTGTAGAAGTAGGCTCTATGCATGGGAAAAATTACATTGTATATATAAGGTAAAATTTATTATTTACCTCTACATATTATATTTTGAATACCCTTGAAACAACCCAAAAGCATAGCTTAGCGGTCAAGGGGATTCAAATTCTTTGTAAGGTTATTGGTTCAATTCCCACTAGCTACAATCTTTTTTAACTTTTTTTTTGAACCCCCTTAGCGGAAATCCTACCTCCTCCACTAGCTCTATGGAGGCTCGCATGATTTTATAGCAGGGTTAAAATGGAAGTAGATGTGCCAATTTCAGTTTCTTATAAGTTCTATTTTGATTTCTGAAATTCCTCAGTGGATGCATGCCTTTTATTTCATCTGTAAAGGTACATTTGAGTTGTTTATAAAGTTGCTTAGTTTTTCAAATGTTCTCAATTATGGGTGTGTTTGGTATGAAGGAAAATGTTTTTCATGAAAAATATTTTTCTCGAAAATATTTTCTTAGAAAATGAGTGGTTTTATCACTTACTTTTCCTTGTTTGGTTGGTGAGTGGAAAACTTTTTCCGAAAAATATTCTCTAGTAATTTGTTAGAAAGTAAAACATAATTTTTATGCTACTCTCCTCACCCCCTTTCCCCCAAGTCCCCATGTTTCCTGTGCTCCCCCCCTCTAAATACCCGACGTTTTCAGGATTCTATTTTCTTCAAGAATTTAATTATTCTTCTAAAAATTCGCACAAACCAAAAGGAACTAATGTGCTGCTTTACTTTTTTACGCAAAAACAACGTTGAAATTAGTGCTATATAAATAAAAGAAAATGCTCTTTTTTTGGTTGAAAAGAAAGTACTCTTTCTACAATATGAAAATAAAGTACTCATTTTGTTTGAAATGAAAGAAAATACTCTTTTTGTTGAAATAAAAGAAAACGGTTTTTACTACATTATTTTGTTGAAATGAAAGAAAATACTCTTTCTACATCATGAAAAAAAAATATTCATTTTGTTGAAATGAATGAAAATACTTTTTCTACTTCATGAAAAGAAAATACTCTTTTTGTTGAAATAAAAGAAAACGGTTTTTACTACATTATTTTGTTGAAATGAAAGAAAATACTTTTTCTACATCATGAAAAGAAAGTACTTTTTTGTTATAATGAAAAAAAATACTTTTTTATATCATAAAAAGAAAATACTCATTTGTTCAAAAGAAAAAAAATTCCCTATCTATAACATGAAAAGAAAATACTATTAATAATATTT